TTGATATTTACCATGTTCCGATTGACAACGGTCCCGATTGACCACGGTTCAAATTGACCACGGACCCGATTTACCACATTGATATGGACCACGGTCCCGATCGACCACGTTGATATTGATCACGGTCCCATTGACCACGTTGAGATTGACCACGGTCCCGATTGACCATGGTCTCGATTGACCACGTTGAAATTGACCACGTTAAAATTGACCACGTTGATATTGACCACGTTGATATTGACCACGTTAATTATTGACCGTGACAGCGAGTAGGCAACAGCTCCATGTGTCGTTTTAGTATGTATCTCGTTATTTGCGATCGCGAGAATTATTAAAAGATATCTGAAACTCGATCTCTATAATAATTAATAATTAACGATACATTAGCGATTGCTATTTGTCGAAGCAGATATTAATTTCGTGTGATTTATTGTTATATGTGTATCTCATTATACGCGATCGCGAGAATTATTAAAAGATCTGAAACTCCATCTCTATGATAATTAATAATTAACGATTCATAAGCGATTGCTATTTGCCGAAGCAGATATTAATTTCGTGTGATTTATTGTTATATATGTATCTCGTTATATACGATTGCGAAAATTATTAAAAGATATCTGAAACTCGATCTTTCTTTCTTTCTTTTATATGGCCACTTCTGATCTGGGGAATTGATCAGTAAATTCCGGCCAACAACTGATTAAAGTGGGAATGAGATAGGAGAAATTAAATCATATGCATGGTACTATATAGATATATCTCATGATGATATATAATATGATAAATATAATATAGATATATTTCATGTGATTTATTGTTATACTAATATACTAAAACAAAGTAAGAATAATTACAAAAAGCAGTGAAATCCCACTAAAAGAAACCTCAGAAAAGTAAAAAAAATACACCAAGTACATATCTAAAAAACAACTTATAAAATTTTTTTTTAAATAAGAAATGAAAACTAAATATGAAATCAATAGCTAACTAGCCAAGTACTTAGAAGCAATTCAGTTTGTAAGAATTTGTAATTAGAAATAGTATTTGTCATAAAATCAAACTTGTATTTATAGAAATATTATACACAAATTTTCTCCATAAAATTAAAATGCTTTTTATTTTTATTAACAGAAACCTGATTTTCAAAATAAGTTCAATAGAAATAAAAAAATATAAAAAAATTTTAATTAAAAATTAATTTTAATTTATACTTTAAAAGTTAACTTTTTGAAGACATGGTCAGCCAAAATCTTCAAATATCCTTTCAATTCCTCCATAATCATTTTCCAACAATCCATTTATCACAAATATGTTAATTGATAATGCACAGATTCAAACATTGCATGTAATAAAGCATTTGTTCAATTTTGCTAATATAACCTAACTTTGCTCAATACGATTAAAAGAGCTCACTTCTTTTTCTTGCACTATTCCGCGTTAATAATTTCTTTTCACTGTATCACTTTTCTTCTTTGTGTTGCACTATTCCGCGATATTCTCATAATCGTTAATCACTTTATCACTTTCCTTCTTATCGCATTATACTCCGTGCGTACTCTTCTTCTTTACTTTATTGGCAAAGAACAGATTCTGTATTAAGGTGCCATTACATGACAGCATCGAGCATCGAGTGTGGAACGTCTGCGTCTACACAAAAATCATTGCGCAGGAATCTGAATGACATAGATTCCAGCTTGCGGCTAATAGCTTGATGAGTGATATGAATTCGGTCGAGATAAAAAAAATTATATTCTGATACACATTACTAATACTGAAAATTGATATTTATTTACATTATACACAATAGATTATTATTATTAAACAAAATATATATAAAACGTTACTATCCCCCAGCAGAATATTAGAATCTAATCAAGGATTAAGGAATATAATTTTCATAATTTTCTTATCTGCATGTTTATAACATATTGCTCCTTTAAATCATTTCCTACTTTAATAATAATAATAACACACACACACACAAATCTATTATATAATAAAATAAATGAAATAAATATAATTCTGAGCAACAATATTCTGCGCAGACACTTAACGCTCGGCGCTTGATGCTGCCATGTAAAGGCACCTTTACTGTTCATGCTGCCAGATTGCCATCTTACTTTAGAGTACCAGGAGGGGGAAGGCGTGCATGCGCGCGAAAGTCAAGCAGTAGAGCGTCAAATCGAGATGTCGTACTTTCGCAGGAAGGAAACTATGGATGCGATCACTCTATAAGAAGGGTCTTTCGGGAGGTCAAATATGTCATAAGGTAGAAGAGTTCCCAGGTTCCGCTGAATGGAACGGAGAAGCGGACCGCGGTGTTCCCCAAGCAACGGGCAGGACCAAAGAACGTAGCCGATGTCCTGCCGTGATGCCCCATAATTGCAAGCAGGAGATTCCACTATATTGCATCTGTTTAGGCTGTAATTTAAATTGTAGTGGTTAGAACGGATTCGACAGTTACTATCTCAAGACGGTTCAGGTTCAGGTTCAACTTAGTGAACCACGGATCGGGAGTAAATGATGAATATAATTTAAAGTACTGGAAGCTTTTGTGAACTGCTTGATTTACAAGAAAATCTCCAACAGTCTCGGTGTATCTTTTTTGCGGAATGACATAAAAATCCGAGTGAGGGGGAAGGTACTCCGAAGGCTTGCCCCCACCAATAGCCTTCTTAGCGAGACGATCCGCCATCTCATTACCAAGGGTGCCGACATGGGCTGGGATCCATCAGGACAATGTCAATTCCCTGAAGGAAGGCCGATCTCAACTTGTTTTTCAGAACCAGGACGTGGTAATTGTGGTCCATATCGATTCTACTAGAAGAAACGATATCGACCACACTGCGGTGGGAGCGTCCCGTTTGACCACGTTGATATTGACCACGATCCCGATTGACCACGTTGAGATTGACCACAGGTCAATTGTGCCTGACTTGCGGAGGGGGTGTGGGAGGGGGGCCGAAGGCCCCCCTTGCACCACTCCGCATGTGTGTGTGTGTGTGTTACATGATTTTTCAGTCGGGATCGTTGTCCATATAAACGTGGTCAATCTCAACGTAGTCAATCGGGACCGTGGTTAATATTAACGTGTCAACCGGGACCGTGGTCAATATCAACGTGGTCAATCGGGTCTGTGGTCAATTTGAACCGTGGTCAATCGGGACCGTGGTCAATCAAAACCGTGGTAAATATGAACGTGGTCAATCGGGACTGTGGTCAATCAGGACAGTGGTCAATCGGGACCGTGGTCAATATCAAGGTGGTCAATATCAACGTGGTCAATCGCAACGTGGTCAATTGGGACCGTGGTTAATATTAACGTGGTCAAACGGGTGCCACTCCACTGCGGGAGTCCGATAAGACAGTAGCCCTCTCGACACAACTTTCCAGAATGAATTCCACCGCGTGAATTATAGCAAGACCGCAGGGGGAATCCATCGTCGACCTGACGTGGGCAACTCCCGCTGCGGTACATGTAGTTAGTGGATGGGAGGTGCTGCAAGAAGAGACGGCATCTGATCATCTTTATATTAAGCTGACCGTTGCAGCTATCTCCCCAGAGGTGCTAAGGCGGCGTCGAGCAGCGGAGACAAACCCGAGGAGATGGGTCCTTCGCAAGATGGATGAGGACCTCCTCAAGGCCGCCATACTGTCGAACACGTGGCCAGAAGAGGACAGAGAAGAAAGTGACGTTGACCAGCAAGCCTCATGGTTAGAGGACATGCTGACAGATGTTTGCGACGTCGCATTGCCTCGTGCAAAGCCTTCTCCCCGACGCGCCGCCTACTGGTGGTCGGAGGAGATTGCGTCGCTACGAAGGACGTCTGTAAGGGCTAGAAGGGCATACACAAGAGCCCGCCGACGAAGGAGTGCCTCTGATGAGGAAATTGAGGAAAGATACAGGGAGTACCGTGCCGCTAGGGACGCCTTAGTGAAGGCCACCAAAACCGCAAAAGCCAAGGCATGGAATGAGCTCCTTCAAACTCTGGATGAAGACCCGTGGGGACGTCCATATCGCATAGTACTTAACAAACTAAGGCATTGGACGCCCCCCACGACGGAGGCAATGGACCCCCAATTCCTGGACAACGTCCTCACCACACTATTCCCGACCAGAAACCCTGGAAATAATCCAGTCCCAGTCGTGGGGCAAGTGGAGTGAAACGAGGACTTGGAGGTGTCCACGGAGGAGCTCAGGACAGCGGTTAAAAGGCTGGGAGCACGGAAGGCTCCAGGCCCAGACGGCATCCCGGGCAAGGTCATCGCCCTGGCCTCGGGAGAAATTGGAGGGCGAATGAGCCGGATCTTTACTGATTGCCTTAAATGTGGGCGCTTTCCGGCAAGCTGGAAGGAGGCAAAAATAGTTCTCCTACCAAAGCCGGGTAAACCGGCGGACTCCCCCTCATCATACCGGCCCATATGCCTACTAAATGAGACGGGGAAGATGTTGGAGAGGATTGTTGCGGATCGTCTCGTCCAACACCTGTCTGCGGAGGGCCCCGATCTTAGTGATGGACAGTATGGCTTTCGGCGGGCGCGTTCAACAGTGGACGCCATCCTACGGGTCCGGGCGATGTCGGAGACCATCATAACGGACGGGGGAGTTGCGATGGCGGTATCTTTGGATATCGCCAACGCCTTCAACTCACTCCCGTGGGAAAGGGTAGGAAGGGCTCTCCAATACCACCGAGTCCCCCTGTACTTGGTCGCCGTGATTGGAGACTATTTCCGGGACAGGAAAATTACATATATGGACCGGGAGGCCGTAACGCAAGAAAGGGAGATGACGTACGGGGTCCCGCAAGGCTCAGTGCTGGGCCCACTACTATGGAATCTCGCCTTTGATGTGGTTCTGAGGACAGCACTCCCTTCCCGGCTGTAGTGTAGTCTGCTATGCAGATGATACACTAATACTAGCCGGGGGAAATAACTGGGAGAAAGCAGCAGCTGCTGCCAACGTGACTACGGCATGTGCCGTACGGACCATCACGGGGATGGGGCTTTGGGTGGCGCCCCACAAAACTGAAGCTGTCTTCATGCATGACGGCTCTTGTGGGGCCCCACCCGTGGCTCATATTATTGTGGAGGGAACTCGTGTACTGGTGGGGGACCAGATAAAATACCTGGGCCTCCACATCGATGGCACTTGGAGCTTTACTGAGCACTTTGCCCGCATGGCCCCCAAAGTTAATGGTATTGCAGCAGCCCTCAGAAGACTGCTACCTAATATCGGAGGGCCAGGTGGACACACCCGCCGCTTATATACAGCCACAGTGCATGCGGTGGCATTGTACGGGGCCCCTGTGTGGGCTGAGAGTGTGATGGCTATCCGTCGTAACAAACAGCTCATGCGACAGGTACAGAGACGCATGGCCATCGCAGTTACGCGGGCCTACAGAACGGTGGCATATGAGGCGGTGCTGATCCTGGCAGGAATTCCCCCCTTCGAACTTCTGGCTCAGATGTACGCTGAAGTCTACCAGCGTACAAGGAGGCTTAGAGAGGGGGGAACTATCATCATTGACAGGATCAGAGTTCTGATAAGGAAACAAGCCCGGCAAGCTTTCATTATTAAATGGCAAAGACGCCTTTATGATGAGAACCTTGCAGGGCAGAGAGTGGTCGGAGCCATCAGGCCCCTCCTAAGTGAATGGCTGGAGGTGCAGAAGATGAGGGGGACCTTCCACACGACGCAGGTGCTCTCGGGGCACGGATGTTTCGGGGATTATTTATGCCGAATAGGAAAGAAGGAGACAACGAGATGTCATCATTGTGATGGAGACTGTGACTCGGCGCAGCACACTACAACACTGTCCTGCCTGGACGGAGCAGCGCCGAGTCCTAGTTCAAGATATTGGCAGTAATGACCTATCCCTATCGACTATTATCCTGATAATGGTCGAGAGGGAGGAAGCATGGAGGGCATTTGCCTCCTTTTGTGGCGTTATAATGTCACAGAAAGAGGCGGATGAAAGAATTCGCCGGGGGGAGCAGCCTGCAGAAGCCAGCCAAGAGCAAGGAGGGCGGGCACTATGGGTCCCCCGGATAGACGCGTAGCCGTTAGGAGGGTTACCCGTAGGAACCCCACGGGCGTGGGATAATAATATCCTCAGTCGGATACTAAGGGAGGAAGGCCCCGGGAGATGGGGGGTCGTGCTCATCACTGTCGTGAAGTTTTTTGATATGACTGCAGGTGTGGGTGCGACCCGACATCCCTCCTATGGGCAAAAAGAGGAAGACTCGGGAGGGTGAGATAATATTTTTCCACGGGGTGGAAAACTCTCCCCCTCCCCAGTCGTCGAGGTGCAGGGCCCCTGGAGAAGGAATATCCCCTGAAACAAGGGATGACCTAATCCGAGGGCTGGGATTGGGGGGGGCATGATGTAGGCGTTGGCACATGCACCCCTAACAACCCCCACAAAAACACCAAGTGGGAATGGCGTGGTGGAAGGTGTCCCCACCACGCCATAAGAAGCAAGGCTAGCCTCTATAACACCAGGGGCATGCTCTATACATAGAGCATAGAGAGGTTGAAGAGGCGTTGGGGGTGCTCGGAAGAATGCAGACTGCGATTCCCGAGCACCCCCAGACATATACGCCGAGATGGACACCCGGGGGGGTTTTAGTGGGTATTCTCTGCAGAATTTGAAGGGTGAGTCCCACATAACCCCGCGGAGCAACGCTCGCTCCGTGGGGTATGCGTAAATGCATTTCCCCCCGTCAAAAAAAAAAAAAAAGGTTAGGTTAGGTTCTCTTTCGATGGCTGGCCACCTTGTCGTGGTGAAAGCGCTCGCCCTGAAGCTTCCTGCGCGAGCAGGGAGTGAAAGAGTGCTAAGAGCCAGCCTAGGAGAAGGAAAACTCCGAAACAAACCCGGTGTGTCGACACCGTTAGCGGGAGTGTACGCGCTCACGCATCGGCCGGGGAGTTCACCCTTGTAAACAAACCGGAGGCCGTCCCGTGAGGCAGACTTGGTCTGTCAACGGCAACCTAAGGGCTGGGTGGGTTTTGGGTATTTTTGTGGGGTGGGTATTTCTCCCTGGCATACGGGGAAGGCCTCCTGTGATCTCTCAGGGCCATGACGGTGGATCACACCGTCTTGGGCCTGGGACGTAGGAGCCGTAATGTATGCCTAGAGGGTAGTGCCCCTCGAATCAAATGAACTCCTCGTAGTCTAAGTTGTGTATAACCGTGACGAGGGACGCTGGTCGGGGCGAGGTTAATATTTTGGTCATGAACGGTACCTCTGGGGCACATGTCCGAACCCCAGAGTATTTTAGGACTTACCCGGGTAAGGAGGCTCTGCCCGGGTGGACACCCCTTCCTACCACACTCGTGGGAACAAGATGGAGACTTTTAACAATAAAAAACAAAACAACTTGATGATAGAGGAGGATGCAAGCATGGGGGAGGATACAGGTGATGAGCGGAATTCAAACCGTAGGGCAAGAATCCCGGGAATCACGCTGGAAAGAGGGGACTCGCTAGCACCGGTGAGATCCACAACGAGCGGACAGGACAACCGGTCCGAGGCTTCGACAAAGTCGTATGATTCGGAGGAATCAAGTACGACCTTGTACGAAGAGGACGAATTTGGCCGAGAGATTAAAAAGGCCAGGAAACGTGGTCGACCAGTTACCACTGGCGACTACGAACGGAAGAAGAGGAGGGATGCCTTAAGGCAGGAGGAACAGAGGAGGGAAATGGAGAGGATTGAGGAACAGAGAATCCTCGATGACTCATATGTCCCCCCGGAGACAAAAGCCAGTCTCAACATCCCTAGTGTTGAGGACATCATGGAGGAGCTCCGCGATGCCCCAACGCCGGACGTGTCGGCAGAGATTAAAAAGGCCAGGAAACGTGGTCGACCAGTTACCACTGGCGACTACGAAAGGAAGAAGAGGAAGGATGCGCTAAGACAGGAAGAATCTAGAAGGGAGATTGAGAGGCTAGAGGAACAAAGGATCCTCGATGACTCGTACGTCCCCCCAGAGACGAAGACCAGCCTTAACATTCCAAGCATGGAGGACATTATGGAGGAGCTCCGCGATGCCTCCACGCCAGACGTATCGGCAAGGGCCCTCGAACATCTTCAAAGGGTCCATAGGGTCGCGGCGGTTTCAAAGAACCTCAAGGGTACCTTTGTAAACCAGTTGAAGACAGCAGTTAACGTGGGGAAGGCCTGCGCCACAACTCTGGCCATAAGAGCGCAGAACATTGGCGCGCCAGAGGTAGAAAAGTCGGAGGCTGAGGAACTCCGCAAGCAGCTCAGGGCGATTCGTATGGAAAACCTTAGGCTGCAAAAGGAGGCGGAGCAGGCTAGGGAAAACCTGCGAATGGCGATGGAGTGCCAAAACGTAAATTATCCCAGCAAGACGGTAAATACCTCAACCGTCCAGGAGGACATGACAACAGACTTCCCTGTGAATCAAGTGGAGTGTGAAGACTCAGTGGCAACGAGTGTCACTCTGCCTCCAAGGAAAGAATGGCCGCAGGCAGCCAGGCCACCAATCAAAGGCATCCCCAAGGTCTTGGAAGACTGAGAAGATGCCCCAATTGGATTGCCGGTTATAGACCGCATCATTAGTAAGCGGCTGGACAGTCTCTTCAATAAATGGAGCGACAAGATGGAGCAAGCTCTAGGTAAATTCACCGGGCAAGTCCACCAGCCAAAAGGCCAAGGGGCTAACCCTCCCTTAGCAAAGAGCAAGACAACCGGGAAGGGAAAAGGTGCGGGAAAAGGGACCACATTCGCGATGCATTCGCCGGGAATACGGAAGAACAGCCATCTATTCTAAACTTTTTCCTAGTATGCAGGGTAGGGAAAAAGATGCCTATCCCGACGTAATCACCGGACTCCTCCTTCGAAGCATCCGTGAAAATTAAGTGTCTCTCCTCGATGAGATAAGAGAGGGATGATTGAAAGACAAGTTGTGGGAATGGAGCATGACGGATGTCCTCCACCACTGATTGAGGAGTAACTTCGATTCTGGGAGCGAAGGACGAAGTTTCGTAAGAAAAGAGGTATAAGAGGACCTTGATAAAGGACGCGATCTTATACCTATACTTCCTCGCGCTGCAGAAGACTCTATATAAAGGAAATCTATTGAGTAAATCGAATCTATTGTTGCTAAAGAGAGCTGCCTGTAAGTCGCTAAGTTTATCGATAAGAATATTGTCTTTAAGGGCAAAGGATTTGAGAATTAATTTTGTCGTCAGATAGTCGAAACGATGCCGAATGGTAGACCACGTTGGAGTTGTTTATTTTAAACCTATGCAATAACGCAGAGCTCTGGATTGAGTCTTTTCTAGAAGTTCCACTAGATTCTTATTGTGGGTAGGAAAGATCAAAGCTCCGTACTCAATCGATCCGCGCACCAAGGCCTTGAATACACAGAAGAGTGTCCTTAGGTTCGCTCCAGATCCCACACAACGATTTCAATATGTTTGCGAGCTTTCCACATTTGTCCGCCAGATAACGAGTGTGCTCCCGTCCCCTGAGAATGGGATCGAGTAGAACTCCGAGAAACTTGTACGAGTGTGATAAGTTGACGGTAATGCCCTCCAAGACTATTGCAAAATTGAAAGAGCTGATTCTCTTTTTACTAAGGACGATAAGAGCCGACTTGGTAGGAGACACGGATAAGCACCTAGTTAATTCAAATTGCGAGTCTGTTCGCCGATCTCTCAAACCCTCCGTGTGAGTCCTGGATATCAGTGGATCTTACGTATATGGCCATATCGTCCGCGAACTTAATAATCTGACAGCCACCGGTGAGACATTACATTTGGTTACATAAAGATTGAATAGAAGAGGACTCAAAATTTATTCCTGCGGACCTTTGTTTGTGATGTATACAGGAGAGATTTCGCCATTGTTTACGAATTGAATATTTCTTTGATTTATCAATTGACAGATGAACCAATAGACTTTTGGGAGAAGGCCCATGTTCACGAAGTCCTCGACCAATATATTTGGAACAACGTTGTCAAACGCCCCTTGTATGTCCAGGAACAAATAAGCCGTGGTTTAGCGAGACGCCATTAGCAAGAAGCCGTTGTAGATTTCGGTAGTCAGTATGCCCAAGTTGCCCTAGTACGATTTTCTCTTACGGAAGCCAAACTAAATAGGGGAAAGAATCCCTAAAGATTCAATCCACCAATCCAAGCGAGTCAGAATCATCCTCTCCAATATCTTCAATAGGCAGGAAGTGAGAGAACAGGGCGAAACTTTCCAGGAGTGAATTTATGGATGAAGAAAACGAGAGAGTGATACCACGACGGGGGGAACAAACCCCCATCCAAGAGCTCATTATAGATGTCAAGGAGCACCCGCAAATACTCCTCGGGAAGGGTCGAAATCATTTTATAGTCTATTTGGTCTATACCCGGAAAGGAGCGCGTCCTAGCGTTGTAAACCGCCGATTCAAGTTCTCTATAAGTAAAAGGGCTCTCAAACATCTTACAATTATAGTCCGTGGAGAAGACGGTGGGCACATGGAGTCGATGGGGCGTATCCCGTTTGGACACGGAACGATTTGACACCGCTCGATTGGACACGTAGTATTGGACACGGAACGATTGGACACTGCACGATTGGACACAGAATTATTGGACACCGTCCAATCGTGCAGTGTCCAATCGTGCAGTGTCCATAGATGCGGTGTCCAATCGTGCAGTGTCCAATCGTACGGTGTCCAATCGTGCAGTGTCCAATAATGCGGTGTCCAATCGTGCAGTGTCCAATCGTTCCGTGTCCAAACGGGTGTCACCCGAGTCGATGGAGTCTTGTGTATTGTCCGAGATGAAATAGTTAGAGCGAGGAAGAAGGGCGGTGATACCCAAGTGGCGATTCTTGAATCGTTTAATCACCGTCCAGATATAATTGATAGGAGTATTTGGAGTAAGATTTTGACAGAACTTTCTCTATCCCTTTTTCTTTTCCGTCTTCAATACTCGCCTTGATATGACCTTCTGCCTTTTAAAAGCGAGAAAGTTGGCGTATGATGGCGACTTTTTGAATGTCGAGAGGAGCCCACGTCTGAGGTCGACCGTCTCCTGGCAGGTTTCGTTCCACCAAGGAGCTGGGAGAGAGAATCTTCGCCTATGAGAGGAATGAATTAGATGAATATATGATGAATTAGAAGTGTTCCGGGAGCGGTTTGCCACCGAAATATGAGGCAGTGATTCCTTAGATGACCGATAAAAATTTCATATTTATCTAATGCGTTTAGTGCGGGTCCTTCGATAGTTTCCCTTAGCAAATCCATACTGTTGCTCAGGTTTGAAGCGAATTGTTCTCTTTCTGTTATAGATAATTTGATTTTATGCGAAAAGAACTTTCTTTTTCTAAAAAATTGGTTGAATTTAATCTCTATTAGGTAGTGATCACTCAAATGAGTGTCCTCCAATGCATTCCATTTGCAGAGATCTATAATTGGAGGGGATACAAAGGTAAAGTCAATTGCATGATCTGGACGAGTCAAAAAGGTAGGGGATCTGTTATTAATGCATGTAAAAGACAAATCCAGAGCCGAAGTGAGTAATGTTTTGCCCTCTCCGCTTGTTCATTTGCAACCCCACTCGCTATGATGAGCGATAAAATCTCCCAGTAGAATTGCGTGGGAATTGCAAAATGCAAAGAGAGAGTCATACTGTTAGTTAATAAGAGATTCTTGTGGATGTCTATATACAGAGACAATGGCGAGACCAAAGGATTCATAATGAATGACAATGGCAATGCACTCTAATTTGTTAACGAATTGGATGCAATAGCTTACGAAAGTATATGGAACGGATCGGCGAATAAGAAGCAGACCTCCACTATTACGAGTCAACGAGTCTGTCCGGAATATGTTAAAATCTCGCAGGGACACCTGTGAGTCGGAACTCAACCAGATCTCCGATACGGGCAGGATATCATACTCCTGGAATAAAGTATTCGCAGGATCCATCTTGTTTAGTGTTACATCCTGGCGACTGCACAATTCCTTCCTTCCGCGAAGTGTCGGCAATGATCGTCGATTGGTGAGACGAACGAATCGTTCAGTAAACAAACCGACGCAAAAAGATCGGTGATGAAACCATGCCGGTCTCCTCGAGATAAATAAAAATCAATAGATATCCCTTAGTAGAATTTGCTGGCGGAAGAATAAAGAGACACCAACAGAAGATAATATAAAATTTTCTAACGAAATATCCAACAAACACAGCTGCATCAATAATAATAAAATTTTCCAACGAAATATTCAATAAACACAGCTGCATCCATAGCAATAAAAATAATCATAAGAAAATAGGACTTTTTCTAATCTGATCACGTGCAAGGAACCTTCGAACGGATATCGAGGTCACCAATGGACGATCACCACGGGTAAAAATTCGAAAAGTAGGAGAAACATCCCGCCTAATGGACACTAGCACAATTTTTAATTCGTTAAAGTGAAGAATCTCCATTTCTGCGCAATTTCAATTCGTTGAAGTTTTGGAAGGTTCCCATTCTTAAAATTAGAATACACCCCTGAAAAGAGAATTATAAAAAGAGGACTCGAAGAGACCATCACAATCAATCATTCTCCAGTCTTCAGTTTCACGCAGTCTTACTCTGTGCTTTTGCACCGTAATTCGCGAGTAAGTTACTTGTGCAACCAGTGTCCTCACTTGGCATCATCGCGAGAGCAACCACGAGTCAAACATCGGGTTATCGACATGATAGAGCGAAACACCGCACAAATTCTCCTCCATCTCTGAATTACTATTTAAAAAAGTAAGTTAAATTGAATAATTTTTCTTTGCCAATTCATAGCTCTCCGCAGAATGTTTCATTCTTTTAAATCATCAACTCATTCCGGCAATAAGTCTTAGAAAATTTTAAATCCTAATCTAACACATATGCGAGCAAACAATTTTATACTTCTGACCGTTCTTAACATATACACTTATTGACTTATACATATCGATTTATACACCCCTGAAAAGAGAATTATAAAAAGAGGACTCGAAGAGACCATCACAATCAATCATTCTCCAGTCTTCAGTTTCACGCAGTCTTACTCTGTGCTTTTGCACCGTAATTCGCGAGTAAGTTACTTGTGCAACCAGTGTCCTCACTTGGCATCATCGCGAGAGCAACCACGAGTCAAACATCGGGTTATCGACATGATAGAGCGAAACACCGCACAAATTCTCCTCCATCTCTGAATTACTATTTAAAAAAGTAAGTTAAATTGAATAATTTTTCTTTGCCAATTCATAGCTCTCCGCAGAATGTTTCATTCTTTTAAATCATCAACTCATTCCGGCAATAAGTCTTAGAAAATTTTAAATCCTAATCTAACACATATGCGAGCAAACAATTTTATACTTCTGACCGTTCTTAACATATACACTTATTGACTTATACATATCGATTTCGATTTTACTTTTTTCATCCTTTAATCAAATATATTTTCATATTGTATTAACCAGTCAGAACCTAAATGTTAACGAATAAGAATGATAGAATCTTTCCCTTGCATTCTGACTGATGTCTTCTGTATTAATG